GCAGGTGCTTGATTCAGCATATGAACCCAGAAATATCTTCTTCCATAGCCTGTGAAGATGCAGGAAGATCATTGAAAAGGTAAGAGAGAAAAAAATCAAGATAGAAATTTGGAGATAGGTAGATGCAGGAAAGAAAGAAAAGGAGAGGGAAGGAGGGAGGGAGGGAGGGAGGGACAGAAGGAGGGAGGGAAGGAGGGAGGGACAGAAGGAGGGAGGGAGGGAAAGGAAGAAAGAAGATATAGATAAATATGGATGATAGACAGACGTAGAAAGATAGGAGAGATTATGGATAGACAGACTTACCTTCGATTATATATATTTACCACACCCATCATAAAATACACACACACCTCTGCCTCTGGGCCCTTGGGAAGATAGCAGACACAGAGATAAAGTACTTGAAATGGCCATTCAGAGACTAAGATCTCCAAGACGGAAAGATGAGTACCCAGAAGATATACAACCTAAGACTACCAAGGATAATGCATAAAAGTAAGAACACCCCCAGTGTTCCTATATACCTACTGTGTGTACCAAGTCTAAGAATACTCCCAGTGTTCACATATCCCTACTGTGTGCCAAGTCTAAGAATGCCCCCAGTGTTCTTATGTACCTACTGTATGTAGGTACATACATAGGCCAAGTCTCAGAACACTCCCAGTGCTCCTATATACCTATTGTGTGCCAAGTCTGTCCTCTTCATAAAGTGGCTCCTCTGCTGTCCCCATTTCAGAGTGAGGCACTAAGACTTCGCATGAGTTAGTTGACTTGCTCCCTCCCCTCAAGTTCCAACATCCAGAAAACAACAAAGCAGGTTTAAAAGTATGAGTGCACTTTCCTGTCAGTAAGAAATGAGCTAAGTAGAGAAAACGTCATCTTTTCAGTAAACTGTTTGTTGTTCTTTTTAAAAAAAAAAAAAAGCCCTGGGCCAGACATTGTGGCACATGCCTTTAAGCCCAGCACTTAGAAGGCAGAGGCAGAAGGACTTCTATGAGTTTAAGGCCAGCCTGGTCTACATAGCAAGTTTCAAACAAGCCAGGGCTACATAGTAAGATCCTGTCTCAAAAACCGAAGAGCAAGAGAGAGAGAAAGCCCTGAATAAAATATTTAATTTTAATCTATAAAATGTCATAAACCAGAGGCCCATGGCAAGTGATTAAGTAAAGTCAGGATATCAGGTTTATCTTTAAACTTCTAAATTTGACTTGTTACGGGACATTGATAAACTTTTGCTGTATTCTTTCTTTATGATGCTTTTGTAAACTATAATCCTACATCAATAAGTTCAGGTTGACACTGGAAGGCAAATCTTACAAAAATAGAACAACTTTGCCAAGAATAGTGAGACCTGGTTCTAGCTCAGTTGTACCAGCAGATGTTAGTGATGTTAGGCCCCAGGCTTGTTAGCAACCTCCCTGAGCCTGCTTAGCATGGAGTTTACTACAACATGAGAGTCTGGTTTGACCATTTGACCGTTAAGCTCCATTGCAGCTTAACATTGTAGGCAATTATCAAGAGCCAAAACCCTAACTTGTCTGCCTCTCATACCCCCCATGCCACCCATCCCACAGCCACATGTAGAAGTACTTTGGTTGACTATTGAAATGACCAATGAAAAACATCATTATAACAGACAATTTTAATTACTCTGTACAGCAAAATTTGAATCTAAGATCTGCATCTCTGGCCCTGCAAGGCTTCCCAACCACATCCAGATGTCTTGGGCCACCAGCCAGCCATGACTCCACCAGTGCTCCATGGGGCCTTACAAATTAGAAGCAAGAATCTGCCAGGACAATAAGTAGTGATGAATGTCAAAACTAAAGAGAAATTATTTCTAGATTTGCTATCCTAAATGATCCACATTACTGCACACATCCACTTGTCCTCAAGAGAAATGTCAGAGTAAGGAAATCTGAGGACAGAAATGACTAGGTGACTACCGGTCATTTCCAGTCTGTGGATGGCAAAAGCATCTGCCTCTGGTGGGAAGGAGATTTAAGGAAGGATTTAAATAAGGAAGACTTCATAGTACTCTAATGTACATAACGTTGTAAACTATCATGTGTTGTTTGAGCTCACTGACAAGCTGGCTTTGGAAGCAGGGTTGACCCTACCCCATTTCAGAACCAAGCATATTGGCCTCAAAGTGTTCTCTAAGGTCCTTTGCCTGGAAGGCGCTGGCCCCTAACTCTATAACAGGGAGGGAAGAGAAGAGCAAAACAGTCCAAGAGTAAAAATATTGTATCCTTGAAATGAGAATGAGCCAGGAGGTAAAGCATTTCCAACAGAAGTGACCATTGTTTTCCTGTGATATAAAGTTCCTACAGTAGAAAGAGAAGCTGGAGTTCAACCATGGTAAGCCATCATGGAGAGAAACTGGTCAGGAACTCCAACTGACTGCCTCAGCTTCCTCAGTCAGTTTCTGCTGGATGTTGTGCACACCTGACTTCACATTTTCTCAATGTGATGCTCTTTTTTCTATTACTTGGAAACCTCACCCAAGAGGACACTGGTTTTGGCCCCAGGCTCTCTCTCAATGGAACTAAAAACTCCAACTGGTTGTCTCAACAGGGCTTCCACAGTTGATTTCTGCTGTATGTGTTGAACACCTAGTTTGGTGATATTTTGATATCTATCTGACATCTGCTATTTGTCCTTGGACTTTGCCTTGCTATATACTTAATAATGTCATTCAAAACTGAAATTACGGCTATCAGAGATTATTCTCCAGACTGTACAGAAAAAGTAAGGCCACAGATTATTAGGGGCTAAACTTCTTGGAGAAATTTTAGCTTTAACACCAACAAGCTATATGGCCCTCAGCCTCATCTATAAGTGAGTATGGAAAAAAATCCATTTACGTCATTAAATTCTTCAGAACATTTCCTTGGCACTCTCTTCTGAGTTAGTTATTATTGCTGATGTTATTAACCTCCTCAAAGAGTGAACATTTCTGTCCTTATCTCCCTGAGAGGAAAGTGGTCCAGGCAGGTTTTCTTCTCTCTCTCTGCAGCTTCTCTTGCTGGGCAGGAGCAGGATTTGAATCACTGAAGCTTTGGACGTGTCTGTGGTCTGTGATTCCTTGCAAACATTCCTGACATTTGTAACAATTCCTCCTGAAAAACTAAGCAAAGTGGAAATACTCTTTGGTCATCATCATTGTAGTTGACCCACTTAGCTCATTCTAGACAGCCTCATTTTGAAAATGTGGTTCTTCTTGAGCACCTCGGTCCAGTCATTGCCCGGTGAATGCTTCTTGTCATCTGCAGGGTTTGCATCCTGAAAGCGAAGGGAATGAAATGTTCTGAGTCTGTCTCTCTCTCTAGCACCCACACCACTCGGAGGAGATGAAAAGGAAGCAGTAAAGTAGCAGCAGAAGAGTTGGCACTACTTGGGGCACCCCAGAACTTTCACCTGCCTGAAACCCCAGTTCTGCCTCTCGGGACTTCACACCTAAGACTAAACACCTGGCTGAGAGCAGGCACTCAACTCAGGTTTGTTAAATTTGATTAGATGAGAAAATGCCCTCAAAAGGAGGGAGGGAGCTAACCCCCTGGGAGATGAATCTACTTCCCTTAGACCTGCCCCAGCCCCACCCGACTCATCCTCCATAAGACTGGGACATGTGTTTGCAAATAGTCCCTTCAGATGCCACAAGAAAGAGCATGGGGTAATGCTGACAAATAGAAACCCTCCAAAATGAACATTCAACGGCAAAGGCCAAGCTCTCTGCAGCCCTTGAAACGCTTTCATTCATGTGTTGCCTTTTCGCCTAACTTCACCGTGCTTGTGTGCTGACATAAGGACTTTGGACAAACTGCATTTCTAATATTGAATAGAACCTTATGATAAGAAGAAGAATTAAAATTAAAGGCCTCTGATAAAAATTTTAAGAGCTAAAGGGATTTGTAAAGCAATAGCACTAATATCAACTAGAAAAAACCAACATCTTCCTGAAGGGCACATGGCCTTGAGCCTCTTTCCACTTCCAATCCAGTCCACCCAGAAAATTCTGAGCAGCCCAGTAGAACAGTACTCTGTCAGTATCGTTCCACCGTTATTTGCAAACGAGTCACTGGATGATGCCTAGAGAGAAGTTGGGGTCTGAGGGCAGTTGTAAAATGTACTGGTCATTTAGAGATGAGCCAACACAGATACATCACCTTTCCTAGGGTTGGCAGAGTATTAATCAAAATGCCAGGTACATTTGGATCCTGTTGAATCCTAAAAGGTCATACCACAATGCATCCTTGTCCCAATGCCTACCACAGATCTGAGTCTCTGTATAAGGTTAAATGAATATTGATTGACTGACTGGCTCCAGAGACCTCATCCCAGGATATCATATGAGTTATGGAAAGCTCTGGACTCAGTCTCAGGAATTCAGTTAGGATTTTGGTTCTAACCTTCTCTGAGCAGTAACCTTTCAGATACAACCCCAAGCTGCTCAGCTTTATTTCCCTCAAGATTATGAAGCTGCCTGAGATGGTCTAGAAGACCCTGACCTGTATTGCACTCTGATTCTATGACATACACAGACGGCCATCCAGAATGGCAGGGTAAGGCAGGGAAGAGGATGGAGATGTAAAAGTAGAAACACATTTCCTGCCTTGGAACTTGAGTAGAGGGAGACTTAATACCCATGCTCACCTAGAATCCACAAAATGACTGGAGTGTGGCAGTGCTTGATTCTTTGTAAGAAGAGATCAGGAGTGATGCTCTCTAAGGACAGGACTCAAATCAAAGCATCTTAGGAAACAAAATTTGAGAAAGCAGCACCAGAATTCTAGTCCAAAAGGCAGGAAAAGCCATGCCATTTTCTAAGATTTCCCTCTAGAGGTGAGGAGGAAGGGGCTGGTAATAGACTATATACCATTTCTGCAGCCCCGACTCCAGCTCATGTTTTGACTCCTCTGCATCCTTTCCTCGGCTACCAGAAAGGCCACAGCTCACCCTCCCCGTGTCTCTGTCGCACAGGTGTCTCCTAGCGCTGGTGCATGGACCGCCCCAGCAATACCACCACACCCTGCGGCTTTCTCCTTCAAGGCTTCTTCGAGTTCCCGCACCTGAGGCCCTTTCTCTTTCTGCTGCTGCTGGCCGTGCACCTGGCCACTTTGACCGGGAACCTGCTCATCCTGGTGGCTGTGGCCTCGGTGCCCAGCCGTCCACCCATGCTTCTCTTCCTGTGCCAGCTCTCAGCTATCGAGCTCTGCTACACGATGGTGGTGGTGCCCCGCTCCCTGGCCGACCTGAGCATGCCCGGCCAGGGCAGAGGCAGTCCCATCTCCTTCCTGGGTTGTGCAGTCCAGATGCAGATGTTCGTGGCGCTGGGTGGGGCCGAGTGTTTCCTGCTGGCCGCCATGGCCTACGACCGCTATGTAGCCATCTGTCATCCACTGCGCTATGCAGCTATCGTGACCCCGGGTCTGTGCGGCCGACTGGCCCTGGCCTGCTGCCTCGGGGGTCTGACAGTGTCGGTGGGGCTCACGGTGGCAGTCTTTCACTTGCCTTTCTGCGGCTCCTGCCTGCTCGTGCACTTCTTCTGCGACATCACGGCGCTGCTGCACCTGGCCTGCACGCGGAGCTACGTGGACGAGCTGCCCTTGCTGGGCACCTGCCTAGTGCTGCTCTTGCTGCCCTCGATGCTCATCCTGGCCTCCTACGGGGCCATCGCCTCTGCCCTGCGCCACCTGCACTGCGCAGGAGGCCGGCACAAGGCTGCCTCCACCTGTGCCTCACACCTGGTTGTCACCTTCCTGCACTACGGCTGCGCCACCTTCATGTACGTAAGGCCCAAGTCCAGTTACTCCCCTCGACTGGACCGCACGCTAGCGCTGGTGTATACCAACATCACGCCACTGCTCTACCCCCTTATCTACAGTCTGCGCAACCGAGAAATCACAGCTGCCATCCACAGGGTGCTGGGGCGCTGTGGATGAGGGTCTGTGTGAACTCTGATAGCAGGCAGAGGCCAGGCCGGAGTGGGCAGCCCGGCTCCCTAAAGTTTCCCGTAGCATGAGGCGTTTGTATGGGGAAAGCCACCAGGGAATTCAAGAGCCAAATTCAGGAAATTTGGACACCGCCTGCAAAAGGAGACACATAGGGTGACCACATCTTTATCCCTCCCTGGAGGGATGTCCAGGAAGTGTGGTAGGGAGAATTAGGTCTGAATTTAGTGGTTTCTTCAAGACCTGCCAAGTAATTCCCCATGAACACCCACCACCACCACCCCCCTCCCCGTGGAGTTGTGAAGGCACAATTCATCGTCTTGGAGTGCCCCAGACCCTCTGGTGGGAATGGGGGGCTATGAAGGAAGTGACTCTGAGGCACTCCAGACTTTTTAAGAACTGAGGGGAGTCACAGAGGCTTACTGTGGGAATGGATGGCTGAATGGAATCCTCTAGTAGGGACTGACCTAAGAGAAGGGTGGAGAAGGCCCCAAGCAGAAGTGGTCGGCACAGGCTTGAGCGCACTGGCGACAACGGTGTCAAAAGCAAAAGGATCTGAATTCCTGCAGTAGTTTGGTGACTAGCCCTCTTTGATAGCTCAGGCTGCAGTTGTGGCACATGGACTTGGGATTCTGTTGCCATATCCCTTGTGAGATGCACTAGACCTGGGCACAGGGTGCATGCACAGGAAATGTCACAGGAATAGTCAGAGGTAAGCAAGTAGAGAGAACAGGACCTTGATTGGGCGCAAGGAAGAAGCAGCAGTTAGGGACCATCTCCAGCCCGGGTGGGTGGTGGTATTCATTCCTGAAATGTAGGAAGGGTGGGAACAAGAAGTGGTGGCTCAAATGCTGCTGGGACAAACCAGTGGCCACCCCGGTAGAGCAGAAGAGATGCAAATACAAGGCTCAGGGTACAGGTTCAAGAGAGGAATCAACTGGGATTGGGGAGAGGCTGCTAAGGCCATGGAGGTGGGTGTTATCAGGCAAGGAACATACCTGATAAAAAGAACAGGCCCAGCCAGAATCCAGAGGTCAGCTGGCGCAAGGGAGGAAAGGAGCAGTCAGCAGGTACAAAAGCTGCTGAGCCGTCTGGGGCTCTGTGTGGTTCCTTTGCCTCTCCAGCTTCAGCTGCCTCAACCGTCAACAGGGTTGAGACTAAGTCATCTGTAAGGAGTCTTCGTACTCCTTGATCTCCTAAAAATGGGGTGTGCATGAGGCTGGAGAGATGGCTCCAGAAGACCCGGGTTCAAATCCTGGCACCCACATGGCAGCTAACAACTGTCTGTAACTCCAGTCTCAGGGGATCCTTCTGACCTCCATGGGCATTGCATGACACCGGTACACCTACCTCCTACATGCAGGCAATACATGCATACACATAAAATAAAAATAATAAATAGAATTTTTAAATGTTGTATACAAAGATAAGTGTGGCTCCCTTAAAAGGGAATAAAGGAAGTGTCAAAAATTTATTGCCAACTGAATGCATTTGGAGTAGGCAAATGGGAATTACAGTAAGGATCAGATGACAGGTGACATTCATGGGGAGGTTTCCTGGAAGACACTAGGTTGTCTGAAAGGGAGAAAGTGGTTAATTTGCTGTGATTCAAATCACACATGCAAGCACACATCCTGTTCCCTAACCTGTGAATGCCTGTGAGAGCGGGGAGGGGGGTGGGGATGTAGGGAAGTGGAATTGTTAGGGAGAAGAACGCGTATTTTTTCAGACCCTCTCTCCCATGAGCAACCACTGTGTTAAGATGTTAAAGATGTTTTCTAAAGGTCATGAGTGTATAAACTTGCTAGGAGAATGCTTGATAGTTATCTCAGGATGATTGCAATGGTAACTCTAATCCAAGGTATTTGTGAGAAGATAAGCAGGGGCCTTAAATGGCACATGTTGGCTTTCATTTTTGAGTTTGTGAGATAGGTACATCATACGAAAATACTTGCAAATTAAGAAAATGACTTGGCAATAGCAGAGTAAAACAGATGTCAACCAAGGGGTTGTAGCAATAGTACACAGATGAGTAGACGAGGGCCTCAGCTGGAAGTGTGACTAGAGGTCGAAGAAAAGGCATAAATGAGGTAGGATATGGAAGACATTAGCATAAACCAGTGGGGGTGGGAAATAGCTGTTTAGACTAAACCATCTTGGGTCTTCACATTTAGGCATGCACTAAAAAGTCAGATGGCTTGAAGATTTAATTCTGAAATACACAACCATAGAAAAGGATTGAATCAAATTTTTAACAATGAAAACACGCTACTCAGGATGCTGAGGCTAAAGGATGACAAATTCAGTGTCTGTCCAGGTTGCAGAATGAGGTCAAGGCCAAGAGAAGCCTAGGCAATTTAAGGAGACCATGCCTCATAATAAAAAAGTAAAAAGAGGACTGTGGCTATAGCTCAGTGGCAGAGCATTTACCTAGCATGTGCAAATCTCTGGGTGAACAAATAAACAAGCAAATAAATAAAGAAATATCTTTTCTCAGAATGAGGAGAGATGCTCTAAACTAATGGCCAGACAGAAGTCACATAAAAAGAAAAACACTGATAGGTTTAATGGTAGACAAATCATATTCTATTTTATTTAAAAGTAACATGATATGATATGTGTATATATACACATATGTATATGACAAATTAAAATGTGTAATGCAAACAAATAAATAGGTAGCATAATAGTACTAACCCACTCTATTGTCCTCCCCAAGAAATAAACTGAGAAAAAAGATGAACATAACAATTTTTTAATTTTTTTTCATTTTGTGTCACATGAGTATTGTACTTGCATTACTTCCATTTCTCCCAGTCCCCCTCCAGTTCCTCCTATGCTCCCAACTCCCTCTCAATTTCCTGTCCTTTTTGATTATTATTGTTACAAATGCATATATACATTTATAAATATACATACATATATGTACATATATACATATACATACATATATACATGTATACATTATATATACAGACATATATATACAGACATATTTGTCTAAATGGACTCAGAGCATTTACATATATAAATAAATACATATATATATATAAATATATATATCCATTTAGTGGCGCTCGTGTGTACCTATGCTTAGGGCTGCCCACCTGGTAGAATATAACCTCTCAGGAAACTAGGCCTTGGAGAAAACTGATAGTCCCTTCGTCAACATCCACTGATTGCCTGTAACTCTTCATCCTGAGGTGGGACTCAGAGCATCACAATTTTTAAATGGGAAAGAGATAGCGAGTTTATGAGATAGCTTTGTAAAAATCTTTTTCTTAAACTTCAACTTCGTTAGCAGCAAATTTTTTCCAAACAATAAAATACCATTTGATGCACTCAAACTTCACATTCTCCAACAATTCTGTCAGCAAAGTTAATGAGAATGATCTCAGGTGCAACTGTGAGCTCCCTGTGACAATCCTGCTCTGCCTCCTAAATCGTCATCTTGCGACATTCGTCTTCTTGACTTGTTAAATCTTTCTTTAAAAATACATCAAGAATCTGGAGTATGTTTTGTAAGAATTGTTAGCTGTACTGTTTTTATATTAGCAAAAAAATATCAAAGCAGCATACAGGACCAATATTGGAATAATGACTGAACAAATATGCATTTAAAACCTGATCAAAAACAGAATTTATTTTATTTTTTTTTAGTTTTTTTTTAATTATTTAATAACCACATGATTAGAAGCCTTTTCTCGTATGGATTGACAATGCATATTGGTTAGTGGATGCCAGTCATTTCTGGCCGATGTTTATCATGTATTTTCCCATTTTTGTAATGTTGTCTTAAAAATATTCTTGGAACCATTTGCAGTAGAAAAAAATTAAGAATTAATCACTAGAGTCTAAATTTCCTACTACAAATTCTTTCCTCCTTCTGCCAGATGCCATTCTTAGAATGTCATTTACAATGCGTATTTCATCTTTGTAGAGTGGATACTTTCACTGTCCTTTTTAAAAATAGAGCACGAGCCAGGCATGGTGGCTCACGCCTGTAGTCCCAGCACTTGGGAGGCAGAGGCAGGCAGATCTCTGTGAGTTCAAGGCCATCCTGGTCTACATAATGAGTTCCAGGATAGCTGGGGCTACAGGGAGACCCTGCTTCAAAAAGACAAAAAATAAAATAAAATAAAATAAAAAAGCATGATAATAACACACACTATTGTTATGTGACTTGACCAAGGCTACATAGCTAATGAGGCTTAGAGTTATTATCATAACCCAAAATATCTGGTCCAAAAGTTAACTGATTTATAAATATATGAGCCTTATATGAGTGAGTTTTCAGCCTAATTTAGCTGGAAAACAAACATGCATGATTTTGCTACAGGTTTTACAGTGCCATATAATATAACAAGAGTATGTTACCATCCTCCTGCTAAAGGTATTCAAGGTAGGAAATAGCTTTGTGTGACTCACAAGGTATTTTCATG